AATCGGTTGTACAAGTCAGTGGTGGTCAAGCCAAACAGCAGCCACAGCGGCAGCGGCAACAGCAGCAGCAGCAGCTCTGATGTAACTGTAGCAGAAAATCCACCCCAAAGGTTGGGTATGTGTGCCAAAGAGATGGTAATCTTTTTCGGACACCCCAGAGATCCTTTTCTCTGCTATGACCCTTATTCAGGAGATATTTACACAATGCCATCTCCTTTGACCAGCTTGGCACACACTAAGACCATTACCTCCTCAGCTGTCTGTGTCTCTCCAGAACACGACATCTATCTCGCTGCCCAGCCCAGGAAAGACCTATGGGTGTATAAACCAGCCCAAAACAGTTGGCATCAACTGGCAGATCGCTTGCTGTGTCGGGAGGGCATGGATGTGGCATATCTGAACGGGTACATTTACATTCTGGGTGGGCGAGACCCCATTACTGGAGTTAAATTGAAGGAAGTGGAATGCTACAGTGTTCAGAGGAACCAGTGGGCACTGGTGGCTCCTGTACCCCATTCCTTTTATTCCTTTGAACTGATAGTCGTTCAGAACTATCTTTACGCTGTCAACAGCAAGCGCATGCTCTGCTATGATCCTAGCCATAATATGTGGCTGAATTGTGCATCTCTTAAACGAAGTGACTTCCAAGAAGCCTGTGTCTTCAAAGACGAAATCTATTGTATTTGTGATATCCCAGTCATGAAGGTCTATAATCCAGCCAGAGGAGAGTGGAGGCGGATTAGTAATATTCCACTGGACTCAGAAACCCACAACTACCAGATCGTCAATCATGACCAAAAGTTGCTGCTCATCACTTCTACCACCCCACAATGGAAGAAGAACCGTGTGACAGTATATGAATATGATACTAGGGAAGACCAATGGATTAATATAGGTACCATGTTGGGCCTTTTGCAGTTTGACTCTGGCTTTATTTGCTTGTGTGCTCGAGTTTATCCTTCCTGTCTTGAACCTGGTCAGAGTTTCATCACCGAGGAAGATGATGCAAGGAGTGAGTCTAGCACTGAGTGGGACTTAGATGGATTCAGTGAACTGGACTCTGAGTCAGGAAGTTCAAGTTCCTTTTCTGACGATGAAGTCTGGGTTCAGGTTGCACCTCAGCGAAATGCACCAGATCAGCAGGGTTCTTTGTAAATATTTTGAGACAGTAAGATGTTTCTGCTGTATGGAATGGATCTTAAAATGATACCCCTTTTCCTGAAAAAAAAAAAAAAAAAACAAAGTTGATTAGGACTGGAGATTTGGTTTAGAAAGGGTAGCAATTTGAAATATTAATATTTCAGTATACAAAATTTATAATTTTGACCTCAAATCAACTCATTTCAATAATTTACTGTGCTAAAAGTCCATGATTAAAATATGCATAGTGAACCATTTAGTGGATTTTGTTGTTGCTGTTAATTAGTATGTTTATATTTTGATTTTGCTAATTTAGTTAAATTTTGCCTAGTGCCACAAGATCTTAACTTTGTAATTTGTTACTACCAAAACTGGACTGAGAATTGTTGGATTTTGAAGGTGTTAACATTTTCCTTCAGAATAATGAAAGGTTATTTTTAAGTAAATTTTTAGTATCCTCAGTTATAGTTTGTTAAAATTTAGTGTGCTTTCCTTTTTTGCAAAGAAGGAAATGTTATTAAGATTACTAAATAGTGATTTCATGTTGATAATGTGTTCAGTGGGCTTACACAGTCACAGAAAATTTTAAAAATCAGGATTCCACTGTTTTCACAGAATTTCAGTTTTTACTTTAAAATTTAAGAATATGTATGTGCTAAATATGACCTGTTTCTTACCTTGAAAATGAAAAAATCAAAACATTCTAGTGTCACTAATTTAAGCACCCTTCTAAACCAAAAAATGAAAAAACTGGTAACTTGCTTTATAAAGTCATAGTTTTGATCTGTACATGTTAAATGCTTTGTTGACTCTGGAGGAACAACCCTTTTCTTCACTGGACATGATTAAATAATGTAAATTTTTCTTCACTAGTCATGCACTGTCTTAAAAAGTTTGTTTGCTTCCCTAAAATATTTTGGCTATATAGTTTTAGTATTCATCTTAGAGGTTTATCAGCAGAAAGTGATTTATTCTTTAATGTTTGTGAAGTAATATTGGTTTTGAAAATATGTATAAGCTAAAGGCAGTATTTTATTGAGACCAGTAGTTAGACCAGTAGTGTTTGTCAACTCAAGTTAAGTGCCAGCAAACAACTTTAAAACTTCAAGCTGTGTATAGAACTGTTTTGTGTAGTATTGAAATATTGTCCATTTTCCAAGTTACTGTAAATGTTCTTGATTTTCAGCTTGAAGATATTTTTGTATTAAAAAGTGGAGAGTTAAGGAACTTAAGTGGATGGTGGGTGGCATTTGGGGCCATTAGTTAAAGTGTGTTTCTTCAATTTTCCCCTAAACAATGGTGTACATAGCCATTTTACTATGGTGTCTGTATCTAGTTTGTATTTCTCTGTGAATTATACTCTTTCTGTTTCAGTTACCATATGTAAGGGAAAGTCCAGAAATAGTAAACCACATAAAACTGGCATTTTGTTACGTTATAGGTGCTTACCTTTTGAAGGTTTATTAATACATATGGTTGTCATAATACATATACATGACAAATGGTGTACATATACAAATGTTTTATGCTATATAAAGTTTTCTATACTCTTAGAATTAATCTTCCTCAATCTTTATTCAATAACATTCATATTCCTCTCTATTCTCTAGTGATGAAATGCTAATGTTTTTTTACACTCTGGTAGAGTACAGAGGAATCTGGTCCAGGACGGGAAAGTGATTTTTTGAATGAGAAACAATAAAAAATAAAATGAGAAAAGCAAAACAATGCCACAGATAATGTATTCATCATTTTGATTGGCTGTGTGAAGAAACTGTTAAACACTCAGCTCAGCAGTATTTCTGTTGAAGTGAGTTTGCTGACTTTAGTAGTCAGTCAGGTCTAAGTTTCTTCTGTAACATGAATGTTATAAGAACTGCTCTTAGAAAGCTATTTTTCCCAGTGTGGGGCCAACTTTTTGTTCCCCAGTAACTTCTGTTGCTAGCTCTGTTTGTAAAGTGGAAACGTGGTCATGCTTATCTCAACCAGATCATTCATCTGCACAGTTAAGATCTGCAATTGAAGTATAAAAGGCAGATTCTCTAATTCGTCATTCTCATCTCTTGAGTTAAAGCTTCGGCTAAATATTAGTAATGTCTTGGCTTACAGTCACATTTTCTTGGGAAGGATTTTGATTTTGTGAAACATTTGTGAATTAGGGAATAGATGCTATCATTTTATAGATACATGATTTGTATGTTGTTAGTTACAAATAAAGCTGGTTTTAAACCACAGGCTTCCTGGCTTTATGCTTTATTTAGTTGTCTGTTACTTGTAAACCATTGCTCGTGCAATGATGCAGCTAGGAGTATTGAAATCTTTTTAGCACGTCTTTTAGCAAATGCTCGGTGTACTGTCATTTCTGGGGCTGCCATTTGTAAGATTTAGAATTACATCAGTTAGCTTTTGTGTCTGTGGACCTATAGTTTGGAATTCTGAGAACCTAAATTACTTCAAATGCTTTTTAAGTGGAATCTAGGCGTGGTGGTAGAATAGTTCTTACTCCAGCACTAGGGAGGCTAAGACAGGAGGATTCCAAGTTTCCCATGCTAGCCTGAGCTACACAGTGAGACCCTGTTTCAACCAAAAATAGGCCAATAAAAATGTCATTGGTGTTTGCAAAATGATAAAAGACTGATAAATGGTAAGAGCTTCTGAGTCATTCCCTAGGGAAGTGCATACGCTTATCTTTTCACAATGTCAACAGTAGAATGACACCCACTTCTGGGTAAAAACAATTGTGACAGTGCTAAGAACACCTCCACAAAGAATTAGCATTTTCTACAGGACACACAGCTCAAATATTTGAGTAAAATGCATCATGCTGTTATTCCTAAAACATAAAGGAATAAGACCTTTAATTTTTGACAGAAATGAAAAAAAAATGATATGCAACCTCAGAACAAAGGCAAAATTGACATTTGAAATTTGGATTTAGTTATTAAATAGGGCTTGAAGAGCTCAGATGAGCTAATATATGAAGGCTTTGGTATGTAAGCAATTTATAAATGTAAGAAATATTGTCCAAGAAGGTTGGATATATATATAATATATATAATATATATTAGATCTTAAAGCAAAATGCATGCATGATTCAAGTGTCTCTGCTGATGTTGTAACTGCATACTGTCTTGTGTTACCAACATATAGTAGTAAAAGTTTTCATAATAATCAGGAAAATGGGTTATTGGAAAAGGACATAACCAAAATTTATCTTAGATAACAGTTAAAAAGAAAACTATAATTTGCTATCTATTTCTGATTAAACCAGGAGCCAGTGGTTTGCCAACTGTCACTCTTTTGAGACAGGTTCTCTCTCTAGCCCCGGCTGTCCTGAAACTGTATAGACCAGCTGGTCTGGAACTCCCAGAACTCTCCCTTCCTCTTCCTGCAGAGTACTGGGATTTATGAAGGTGTGTGCCACCACACCCAGCTCTAATACCGGTTTGTGTTGAGATGAATGAAGAAAACATAAAGCAATGATTGATTTGTAAAGCTAAAATTGTTTAATTTCGTTTTAGAATTTCCAATATCCAGTTTTTCTCATCCCTAAAAAATGTTAAAGAAATTTTGACATGCTCAAGGCTTCACGTCTATATCCTGGCCATCAGAAAGAAAGCAAATTGAATAGCAATATATAAAAAATTGTTCCTATAAGGAATGCACGTATCACCTTAGGTCACATATCTAAATGGCATGGTTATCCACAGTTGTAAGAAAGCCTGGGAGAACTAGTCTTTATTCTAAGTCAGTTTGTTCCTAGTTAGAACTCAAAAGTTTCTTGTGAAATAGTGAAATGTAAGTAACAAGTCGTGTAGTGGTGGTACATACCTTTAATCCCAGCACTTGGGAAGCAGAGGCAGGGGGATCTCAGAGTTCAAGGCCAGGCTGATCTACAAATAGAGTTCTGAGACAGCCAGAGCTGTTACCCAGAGAAACCCTGTCTTAAAAAGCAAAGCAAAAAAAAGGGGGGGGGAGGTGGATATAAGTAACAACAGTCTATAACAGTCTATTCATCAGAAGAGCAATACTAAGACCCACATTACACCATCTCTCAGACCTCAGTAGGGTTTAGTAGAGTTTTTTTTTGTTTGTTTGTTTTTTGTTTTTGTGTGTGTGTGTGTGTGTTACAATAATCAGGGAAGAAGAAGCTTCTTCAGTTTGAAAGTAAGGGGACATGGAAGGAATCAGAGGGAGGAAAGGGAAGAGGGGAAGTGATATAAATTTTAGTTTACAATGTATGAAATTTTTATTTTCCATATGAATATTTTGCCTGTATGTATTTATGTGCATCATGTTTGTGTTGGGTGCCCTTTCAGACCAGAAGAGGGTGTTGGGTCCCCTGGAACTGGAGCTACAGGTGTTTGTGAGCTGCCATGTGGGTGCTGGGAACCAAATCCACATCCTCTGAAAGAGCAGTAAATGCTCTTAATTGCTGAGCCATCTCTCCAGCCCCTCCTTGAAAAATTTTAAGTATGGACTTGACACTGTTTGATTTTACTAGAGATCCCTCTCTCTAATGTGTTGACTGTATAAATTGATAGTACTGATTAAAGGGATGTTGGCTGTGGTGCTTTGGATAATAAATCTGTCCCACTGGAGATAATCGCAGGCCTTTGAATGCATGGCCCCCAGTTGGCAGTGCTGTTTGGGTGGGTTTAGAAGGTGTGGTCTTGCTGGAGGAATAATGTCCCTGGGGTTGGGAGGTGGGCAACCTCATCCTAGTGACGTTTTGCTCTCTCTGCTTCATCCTTGCCACTGAAGATGTGAACTCTCAGCCTGCTGCCCTAGCCACCATGCCTGCCTGCTGTCCAGCTTCCCCAAATAAACCCGTCCTCCTGTCAGTTGCTTCTGGGCATGGTGTTGTATCATAGCAACAGAAAAGTAACAGATTCTTTTATTGACCAGACAGTGACACAATGCCATCCTCAGTAGATGTAGTAGTTGTGGGTTTAGCAAGATGGAGAGGATCTGTGAGCTGAAGTTAACCTGGACCTCTAATTGAATGTTTTGAAATTAGAGGTATTATGAGAAAGGGAGGACCAAGTTTCTTGCCTAATGTTAGTATTACGACATAAGCCAGCATTCTGTACCAAAGGAGCCCTAAAATATGAAAGAAACCTTTTTCTCTTCATTCAGTCCAGAAAGAGCAGTAAGGGATTAGCAGTCAAATTCTTCCCACCAGACTGTTCATGGTCCCAGGTTTTGCATTTTCATTGACAAAGCACATTCTCTGGAATTGTATCTCTGTTTCACCCTAAAGAAAAGAGAGGGAGGGAAGTGTAATTTTCCCCCTCTTTAAAAGTAGACTGTTATGAGGCTGAAGGTATAACCTGTTTGCAGTTATTCATGAACCCCTGGTTTGATCCACTACCATAAACAAGGCATGGTGGTGCATGCCTGTAATCCCAGCTCTCAGGAGGTAGAGGTAAGGGAATCGGAAGTGTAAGGTCATCTTTAGCTACATAGTGAATTCAAGACCAGCTTGGGATGCATCCCAGTGGAAAACTTAACCATGTCACCCTATCTGTTAACCAGGGCATGCTGTATGCTACTCTGCCTCCACATCTGAGTCGTGCCTTCTCTGACTCCAAACTAACATCTCTCCAATGGAGTTTTAGCTCTTTGGAACTTCCCTAACTTAATCAGAAATAGTCTTTTAGGGGCAGGCTATTAACTGGGAAATTCTGTAAGTAGATGAGTAATTGTGTACCTACTTGAGGTACTCTAGTTCTAAACAGAAAGTAAACATATTTTAATATAAATATTTTCTTGTGAACTAGTCCAGGCAATTTGCACTACATTGTAGGCATTATTATTGTGATGATCATTTCAAATTTCCCTGAGATCCTTTGTGATGAACTCACATTCCATACCGCACCAATAATAATGCTTTAACAAACTAACGAACCTCTGTACCTTTATCACAGGCAGGCACATGTCTATGCGCACGAACACTTTTTATTAAGTCTATATTTTATTATTATGAATTATTAAGTCAAGCATTCCAGAAATGGCAGAAATCCAGCCCTATGAGTGCCAGAGTCCTCTTCCTAAACCCTTGCACAATTTCCCAATCCCTCACTTTTGCCTCGAGACTTAGCAGTGTCTTTTGTGCCAGCTGACTAAGTGGATCGTGCTGCCATTCAGTAAGTTTGGGAATACGCGAATCAGACAAGATTTGGGGAAATCACTAGATGCATATGGTGTCTCCTCACATTCATTTGGCCCACATCTGTGCCAGGCCTGTCCCTACCATCCTCAGAGCCTACTTTCAAATTGCTTCTTTAGAGGAAGGAGCGTTCTCTTAAGCAATGGTCCAAAAAAAAAAAAAAAAAAAAAGTGAAGTAATTAACTACTTCCAGTCAGTGCTTAAGCAATGGAGGGTAAGAATTGCAGATAAACCTCCTGACTTAAGAAGGTGACAATCTTGAAAAACTATGAGATCCTCAAAAAAAACTGCTCCCCCCCCCCCCCCCCCCCCCCCCCCCCACCCCACCCCACAAGTCACATCACAGGAATTTACAAAGTTTTGATTTGGACAAGTGTTTGTAAGAGGAAATTAAAACAAGTGAGATGACCCTTTCCTTAGCCATATGCCGAATACAGGTTACCCCAACCCCTAATGCACCGGCCTCACAAGCCCCTCTTAGGTCTGAGTAACAAAAAAGAACTCATGTTCTTGTGTTATATTTCCAAAATCTCTACCAGTATTATTGTTGCAAATAATTATTACTATAAGTAATTGCTATTGGGCTACTAGTACAAACCTCCAATGTTTAGGAAAATGAGCAGACAGAAAAATGGTTCAGCAGGCAGAAGCAGTGCATGGAAGCCTAGCATGAATTCCAGCCTAGGAATCTGTGAGGGTCCTCTGACCACGCAGCCACTGTGCCCACAGTCTCTCACATAACAGTAATAGCAATAATAATAATAATAATACACCTTAATGAAGCAGTCAGGCAGCTTCATAACCTGTTGACAGCCGCAATTTCAAAACCACTTTGTTAGCCCATGATGAGATGTGAGGACGTGGAACGGGTAGTAGTAGTTGAGGGAATTCCTAAGCTATACATATTTTTCTAAATGATGGAAAATGTGTATTTCCGATTAGCAGCTGGGCTCAATTTAGATGATCCTAAGTTTGTTGGCAGTATTTAACTCATCATCATCAGTAAAGTAGCCAAACACGTGCCTTTTCTTGCTTGGGCCTGATCATAATGTTGCCTTTGGT